TGTGTGTGTGTGTGTGTATATATATATGTGTGTATGTATATATATATTGAGAGAGTGTAAACCATACATATATATGTGTGTTATTATTATACATATAATTATATCATAGTGTATTATAGTATTATATATAATACTATTATATATTGTATTATAGTTATATGTGTAATGTAATAACACACACATATGTATGCTTTACTCTCTCAATATATGCTTTACTCTATATATGTATATGCTATATAGTATAATATAGCATATACATATATATGAGTGTGTGTGTGTCTGCATGTGTATATAGTAAGTAAAGCATACATATATGTGTGTGTTATTATACATATAATAACTACAATACAATATGTTATAATATTATATATAACACTATTATAATATAGTTATTATATGTATAATATAGTAACACACATGTATATATATATGTATATATATGTGTGTGTTAACTATATTATACATATAATAACTATATTATAATATAGCGTTATATATAATATTATAACATATTGTATTGTAGTTATTATATGTATAATATTATAACACACACATATATATATATGCTTTACTTACTATATACACATGCAGACACACACACACACATATATGTATGTATATGCTATATTATACTAAATAATGTAATATAATATACTCTTCTCTGCCAAAGAGTGCTGGTGCCTATTAACTTAGGGTTGCTATAAGTATTATTATATAATATATAATAGGTTATTGTTGTTGTGTACCTTCCTCAGGGGTTTTCTTGGCAAGATTTGTTCAGAGGAAGTTTGCCATTGCCTTCTGAGGCTGAGAGAGTGTGACTTGCCCAAGATCACCCAGTGGGTTTCCATGGCCAAGTGGGGACTTGAACCCTGGTCTCCAGAATCTTGGTCCAACACTCAAACCACTATGCCATGTTGGCTCATACACACCCACACATTATATATATATATACACACACACACACACACACACACACACTACAATATATTTAATATATACATTATTATTATTATTATTATTATTATTATTATTATTATTATTATTATTATTATAGTGTTATACGCTACAGTTACACTATTGGTACCTCTTTTCAGTTGTTTTGGTCGGTTCCCTGTGCCCCACTTCTGCTGGATTGTAAAGTGATTTAGATTGCTGTTTTTGTCACCTTTTTTGGTAACACAATCATTTGGTTTTTGTAATATTCATTGCCATGTTTTTGTAATGCTCTATTGCTAAAAGCTATAAGCCGTCACAATTCCAAGTACTTTAAATAAACAAAGCACTAGGTAGTACGTTAACACTCAAAATTTAGGACAAAAACAGATCATGAAACAAGAAAAAAAATCCAAGGGTAAAGAAATGTAACAAGGTTAAAAGGATTATGTTTGTTAGTTCTACATTTCTAAGCTGAAGAGCCAGCATTGTCAGAGACTACTTTGTGATCGTGTGGCCAGCATGATTGCACAGAACATTGTTTACCTTCCCACCAAAGTGGTGCCTATCTACTTGCATTTCCGTGTTTTCGAAATGCTAGGTTGGCGGAAGCTGGGACTAGTGACAGCTCAACCCATCATGCAGCACCTGGGCCTCAAACTGCCAATCTTGCAATCAACAGTCAGCATCTTAACCGCTTGTGAGACTGCATCTCCTATTTGTCCATCTTGTAAAAGGAGCAAGAGGAAGGAGAAATTAGGAGCACCTTTAAGACTAACTGATTTTTATATTTGCATGAGCTTTTGTGGAAACAAACCCACTTGTTCAGATGCAGCACAGAGTGACAATAAATGCTTAGGTATAAAGCATATAGTTGTGGGAGTGGGATGAAATGTAATAGGATCCAGAAGATTCAAATCATGACCTTTACCCTAAATGTTTAAAGGTCTGCCTACTGAGATATAGGTCTTTCAGATCTTTGCAGTGACCAGTTAGTGCTAATGTGTGAAAGCAGTAAATCTGCTTACCAAAAGTTAGTTTCTTGAATGAGAACTACAGTTTGCAAACATCTTCATTGCTGACCTGAAATAACACTTTCTGCACACATATACACACAGAATGTAGCACAAAGCCAGCATTGTTTATGACATACTATAACAACCTAGACAATGAGAAAATTGAAATAAAGAGTTCCCATACTTTGGATCAAATACTGATCAGAAAAGAGGTTGGTGCCAGAAGTAAGAAGAAAACTAGGGGGTGAAACAGACTGCCCTTTGTGCCGGCTTAAAGGCAGCTTAGGGGCATGCCTTTTAGACGATGTACACCCTCAAACTGTCAGGAAGCCTCCCAGCTGTTTACACAAGGGCGGCTTCATGATGCTCCAGTGACATGGATTACACACCGTACACCATTGGAGCGTCATAAAGCCGCTTCTGGCTGTGGTGCAGGTGGAAAAATAGGCTTTTTGCTGCTCCTTTTCAGGTGCCCCCATGGCTAGATTCAGGCCATGGCATGTGGTTTCTGTGGCCCCAATCTGGCTTTGGATTGGGAAGGGCAACCATGAAGGAACTAGACAAGATACTAAAGTATAAAGATATACAAGAGAGCACTAAAGTTAGAATTATCCAAGCTATAGTATTCGCTATTACCACGTAAGGATGTAAGAGTTGGACAGTGACGAAAGCAGACAAGGAAAATCAACTCATTTGAGATGTGATGCTGGAGAATCTGACAGTCTGAAGTATAAATACTTCATAATAATAATAAATAATAATAATAAAAGAAAAGTGCTGAGAATACTGTGGACAGCCAAAAAGGCAAACAAACAAATGGGTCCTAGAACAAATAAAGCCAAAAACCTCCCTGGAAGCCAAGATGATCAATTTGAGGCTGTTGTACTTTGGCCACATCATGAGAAGGCAAGACTCATTAGAAAAGACAATAATGTAGAGCAGTAAGCAGAACAGTAAGAGGATGGGGGGTCTTGAACATGTCTCATCCACAGTCGCCATGAATTGGTGTCGGCTTGAGGGCATTTAACAACAACAAACAAAAAATAATAATTTGCATTACCTGTAATAACCTAGTACAGTGTTTCTGCAATATATAGTGTGTAATATGCTCTCTTGTTATATCATTTGCTTATATATATATTTTAGGAAACAGTACAGATTGTGTTCATTGGTGACTAGCGGTAATGGATTACAGGGAGGAAATTATGAGCCAAATAGTTCCAGGACAATTTGATGATGCAGATGCTTCAGACAGGTAATGAAAAAATGAATAAATTCTATGATTTTTATGTTCTGTATACCAGGGGTGTCCAATTGTGGCCCACCAGATGTTGTTGAATTCCAAATTTCATTAGTTAGACTCCCATCAGCCCCAGCCACTATGACCTATACGCCATAGTGACACACTGAGTATAACTATTAAGTTGAAATAGATCATCTGAAAAGCCAAAGCTTCTCCATCTCTTTAATATAAGGATATATGATTTCAGGGAGAGGGGGAGAAGATTTTTTCTGCCAACCTTCTGTGGCTCAGATGACCTCAGTTTGTGTAGCTTCCTGGATAAAGTACTAGAATCATAGAATCATAGAATCATAGAGTT